AGTCGAGGCGACTCCTCTGGCTTTTTCTTGGAAACGACTAAGGGTCTGGGCCCTTGTTTCCTTTCTCTTTTCTCGCCGAGTCCCTCAGTCAAGGCGACTCCTCTGGCTTTTTCTAGGAAACGACTAAGGGTCTGGGCCCTTGTTTCCTTTCACTTTTCTCGCCGAGTCCCTCGGTCGAGGCGACTCCTCTGGCTTTTTCTTGGAAACGACTAAGGGTCTGGGCCCTTGTTTCCTTTCACTTTTCTCGCCGAGTCCCTCGGTCGAGGCGATTCCTCTGGCTTTTTCTTGGAAACGACTAAGGGTCTGGGCCCTTGTTTCCTTTCTCTTTTCTCGCCGAGTCCCTCAGTCGAGGCGACTCCTCTGGTTTTTTCTTTGAAACGACTAAGGGTATGGGCCCTTGTTTCCTTTCTCTTTTCTCGCCGAGTTCCTCAGTCGAGGCGACTCCTCTGGCTTTTTCTTGGAAACGACTAAGGGTATGGGCCCTTGTTTTCTTTCTCTTTTCTCGCCGAGTCCCTCAGTCGAGGCGACTCCTCTGGCTTTTTCTTGGAAACGACTAAGGGTCTGGGCCCTTGTTTCCTTTCTCTTTTCTCGCCGAGTCCCTCAGTCAAGGCGACTCCTCTGGCTTTTTCTAGGAAACGACTAAGGGTCTGGGCCCTTGTTTCCTTTCTCTTTTCTCGCCGAGTCCCTCGGTCGAGGCGACTCCTCTGGCTTTTTCTTGGAAACGACTAAGGGTCTGGGCCCTTGTTTCCTTTCTCTTTTCTCGCCGAGTCCCTCAGTCGAGGCGACTCCTCTGGTTTTTTCTTTGAAACGACTAAGGGTCTGGGTCCTTGTTTCCTTTCTCTTTTCTCGCCGAGTCCCTCAGTCGATGCGACTCCTCTGGCTTTTTCTTGGAAACGACTAAGGGTCTGGGCCCTTGTTTCCTTTCTCTTTTCTCGCCGAGTCCCTCAATCGAGGCGACTCCTCTGGCCTTTTCTTGGAAACGACTAAGGGTCTGGGCCCTTGTTTCCTTTCTCTTTTCTTCGCCGAGTCCCTCAGTCGAGGCGACTTCTCTGGCTTTTTCTTGAAAACGACTAAGGGTCTGGGCCCTTGTTTCCTTTCTCTTTTCCTGAGACTGCTACTGGGATGCGAAGGATGATAGCGGTTTTATTTAAGATTTAAGCTTCAGGTGGGTACATAAGCTAACCTTTTAAGGCTTCAAACTTACTGATAGAATTTCTTTAAGTGGATCACATTCCAGATTCAATCGATGAGCTTCCCTTCCAGCGTCTCCAGTTTATATGTGCCGGCCTGAACCACCGCGGCAATGCGACAAGGTCCTTCCCACTTAACCGCGAACTTCCCACCTTCCGTGGGCTGGCTTGCCTCCCGGTCTCGTAGCACGAGGTCGCCGACCTGAAAGGTCCGCGGGCGAATCCTCCGATCCCAATATCTTTTTACGGCTTGTTGATATTCCACCATGCGGGCATACGTGGCCTCTCTCCGTTCCTCCAAGAAGTTCTTCTCGATCCTGAGGCTTTCTTCATTCCCTTCATCCGAATAGTTGCGGACTCGGTGGGTGGGCTCAACAACTTCTATTGGAACTTTTGCTTTGAAGCCATACGCTAGGGAAAACGGTCTTTCGCCAGTCGCCCGTCTCTGTGTGGTACGATAGGCCCATAGTACTCAGTCGAGCTCGTCCGCGCAATTTCCTCCAATGTCTTCTAGCTTCTTCCGAATTCCGTCTACTATCGTTTGATTCACGTTCTCGACTTGCCCGTTGGCTTGAGGGTAAGCGACGGACACCTTGGTGTGATGTATACTATGTCGACGACAGAAGTCGGCGAAGGGCTGGCAATCGAACTGTCAGCCGTTATCACTAACTATATGCTCAGGGAGTCCGAAGCCACAGATCACCTTCTTCCACAAGAAACGTCGACACTGGTATTCAGTAATGGTGGCCAGTGGTTCGGCCTCGACCCATTTAGTGAAGTAGTCGATGGCTACAACACAGAATTTCAAACGTCCGGGGCCACTGGCAGTGGGCCCAGCAAGTCGATCCCCCATTTTGCGAACGGGATGGCCGTTGTGACTGGCGTGTAGAAAGTGGCGGGCCGAGTATCTTTTCGAGCGAATGCCTGGCAAACCACACACTTGGCTATCCATTCGATGCAGTCTCTCATCATGGTGGGCCAATAGTATCCTTAGACGACTAACTTCCGGGCGAGAGGTGAGCACCTTGATGGGCAGCACAGATCCTGCGATGGGCCTTGTCCATTATCTTCTCTGCCTCGGGCCTGAGTAGACATCTAAGGAGGGGGCCTCCGAACGACCGTTTGTACAATTGTCCGTCGACGATCTCAAATGACGGGGCTTTGCGGCGGCTCCTGGATCTTCCGGCAATTCCCCTTTTTCCTTGTATCGCCGGATGTCTTCGATCCAGAACATCTCAGGATTCTTCTCTCAATCCCATTCCTTGACCGCCACCTGCTGAACCTCTAAGGTCGTTTCTTCTATGCTGGGTCGAACTAGTTCTTCTTTTTGGCAGATCCTGACGAGGTGGTCCGGCACACCTTCTAGGGCGATCTTGGATAGTATGTCGGCTTCTGTATTATCCGCTCGTGAAATATACTCTATCTCGTACGTTTCAAATCCTTTTAGCAATTCCAGCACTTTTCCTCTATACTGGGCCATCCGAGCGTTCTTAGCTTCGCATGTCCCGGATATCTGACCGACCACTAGGCGAGAGTCGGTCTTGATCCGCAGGCGTCCTACACCCAGTGTCTTGGCGAGTCGTAGGCCACCCAGCACGGCTTCATACTCGGCCTCGTTGTTAGACGTTGGGAACAGGTAACTTAAAGCGTAGTAAAGCCGAAATTCCTCCGGTGTAATTAACATGATTCCGTCGCACAATGTTGGCGACTGGCTGCTCCATCTGCATGCATCTCCCACCATTCGCCCAAATTATATTCCGAGGTATCCCCTTCGTCACCGTCCCTGGCGGTGCACTCGACCAAGAAATCGGCTAGGGCCTGCCCCTTAATTGATGGGCGAGGCTGGTACTCGATTCCGTACTGAGTTAATTCTACTGCCCATTTCACAAGCCGGCCCGACAACGTGGGATTTCGCAATACGCTTCCTAGGGGTTGATCAGTCAAAACCCGAACGGTATGGGCTTGAAAGTAAGGTACCAGCTTGCGCACGGTGATCACCAGGGCATAGACGATCTTTTCTAAGGGCGTGTACCGCGCCTCGGCGGCTTTCAGAGAACGGCTCACATAATATACCGGGTGCTGGGCACGCTCTTCTTCTCGGACGAGTACTGTGCTCACCGCCCTAGGGGAGGCTGCCAAGAATAAGAACAATGGTTCTCCGACCTGAGGGGTGGACAGCACCGGCGAGGTAGAAAGATATTTCTTTAACTCTTCAAATGACTGCTGACATTCGGCCGTCCACACAAAATCCCCTTTCTTCTACATGGCTTCAAATAATGGCACGGTCTTATTCGCCGCTTTGCTTAGGAAGCGGCTGAGGGCAGCCAGTCGACCAATCAGCCGTTGCAAATCCTTAACGGTGCTGGGAGGCTACATGTCTATGATGGCCTGTACTTTCTCTGGGTTGGGCTCGATGCCCCTCTTAGTCACCATATATCCTAAGAATTTTTCACCTTGCACTGCGAAGGCACACTTTTTTGGGTTAAGTCGGAGATTGTACTTAAGCATTACTTGGAAGCAATCGGCCAGATCTCCTGCATGGCTGGTTTCTTCTCGACTTTTAACCAGCATGTCGTTCACGTAGGACGCCATGAATTTTCCCAATAGGTCTTGGAACAGTCGGGAGACCATCCGGGTGTATGTAGCCCCCGCGTTTTTGAGCCTGAAGGGCATGACCCAGTAATAGTACACCCCATCCGGCGTTAGAAACGCGATCTTCTCCTAATCCGCTTGATGCATGAAGATCTGATGATACCCTCGGAAAGCATCCATAAAACTCAGCAAGGCCGACCCCGCCGTCTCGTCGACTAGTTGATCGATCCGGGGTAAGGGAAACGGATCCTTCGAACAGGCCTTGTTGAGGTCAGTGTAATCCACGCACATTCGCCAGACTGGGGGTTTAGGTACAAGTACCACATTCGCCAACCATTCTGGGTATTTGACTTCTCGGATATGACCTGCGGCCAGCAGTGTGTTTACTTCTTTTTTTTCACAAACTCTCTCCTATCGTTAGCCAAGTAACGTTTCTTCTGTATGACCGGCCGGTGGTCGGGGTCTACGGCGAGTCGGTGAGCAATGATAGACCGGTCGACTCCCGGCATATCCTCTGGTCCCCAAGCGAAGACCAACCGATTCTCTCGAAGTACTTTTATGATTCCCTCGCGTATCTCCTCTGGGAGACTGACGCCAATCCGAACTCGCCTTTCCGGCTGCTCGGGGTCGATCTCAATTTCTTCCAACTCCACTGCCGGCTCGGAGCGGGGTATCATTGCCTTCTTCAAAGGTTTTTCTGTGATCTCATAGACTTGCATCTCGCGCTTGCCCATGCCCCTGCAGGCTTGCAGGTAGCAATCGCGGGCGACTCTCCTGTCACAGTGTACCGTGCCTATCCCACTTGGTGTGCGGAACTTTAAGCAGAGGTGCTCGATCGGGATCAATGCTCCCAGATCCTCTAGTCCCGGCCGTCCGAGATTGGCGTTATGCGAGCATGTCAAATCGACCACAATGAATTTCATGTCCAACTTCTGCACGTCGGGATAACTACCAATTTCTACCGGTAGAGTGATGGATCCTTCCGCTTCCACCGAATCGCCTGTGAAGCCGGCGAGTGGTGTTTTGGCCGAATTCAATTGCTCTCGGCTTAGTTCCATCTTGGTGAAGGTTTCAAAAGTATAGCACGTTGACACTGCTCCCAGTATCCACCAGGATCCGTCGAATGACCACCCCATTCACATCCATTGCGATGACTAGGGCGTTGCGATGCGGCGTCTCTCCTGTAGGCAGATCCTTGTCGGTGAACGTGATGGGCTCTCAGCAAGTCTTCTTTGAACCTTCTTCTCGCCCGTACACTGTCCCTACATATAACTGTCGGGCCCAAGCTTTTCTAGTGTTTGCCGAGTCGCCTCCTTCTGGTCCGCCGATTATCATGTTAATGACCGGTTTCTGCCGCCATTGGGCCTCGTCTTCCTCGGTCGTAGGCTGCTTGTCGCGACTATTTTCAGCTGCTACCGCAGGGTCACCGTCTTCCCGGGCCGCCGACCTTCTTCGCCACTGGTTAGGAGGCGGGGTTCCTTGCTGAATGATTCCCTCCATGATTTTCTTCAGGTAGTAGCATTCTTCCGTACTGTGAGTGTAGGATTTGTGGTAACGACAGTATTTAGATATCTTACCTGGCTCTTCGTTCGCCACGCGCTCCTCAATCGGGGGAGGCGGAGGAGGTGCGAGTGCTTGTACCTCGTGCACCGGATGTTGAGGAGTCGGCCTATAGGGATTGATGATGGGCCTATCGTAGGGGCGCCTGGCTTCAGCTCGCCTAGGCGGTTTCGGGCGTCTCTCCTTAGTCTCTGCGCGGGTTCTCTTTCCACTGGCGGATCCTCCGACCTCGTGATGTCGCTTGTGCTTCATAGCCTGCTCCGTGTTAGCTCGTTTATTAGCCATATGTATGGCTTCTGCGTAGGTGGCCGGTCGATTGTCACGTAAGTCGCGATACAGTTGCCAGGACCGTAAAGATTCGATGATGAAAGTGAGGGCAGTCTGGTCCTCGACCTCCTCGATAGACTGGATTTCCTTTTGCCACCGGGCCAAGTAGGTTTTAAGGGATTCGCCCTCCTCTTGATGAACGTCTCCCAGATGGGTCAGATCCTTTTGTGGCTTGATGTTGGCCGTGTAGTGACTCATGAAGCGGTCGGCCAGCTCTTCAAAGTTGCGTATCGATCCTGGGGGCAGAGCTACCAACCATCTTTGCGCCGGTCCTTTTAGTGTCGGTAGGAAAGCGCGACACATGACAGGGTCCCGGACCCCTAGTACCTGCATCTTAGCCTGATAACTCAAAAGGTGCTCTCGCGGATCACCGGATCCGTCAAAGGTGGCCTGTTCCGGGAACTTGAAGTCGCCGGGTACTTTGTAAGACATGATCTCGGAGGAAAATGGCAAAGCAGTGAGCAACGTTCGCCTAGGGGATTTGGTCCTTCCTTCCATTTGCTCCTTCAGATTTCGCACCTCTCGGGCCAGTAGCCACATCCTCGTCATTTTGCGTGTGATTCCCGGTGGATTTCGTGCTTTCGCCGGCCTCTGATTCAGCGGGTTGGTCATTGTTACGTTTAGGCCGCTCAGACCGTCGCGCCCGAGTCCTAGTTCTTCTAGTACGAGCTCTTTCTCGGACAGCCTCTCGATTTTGTGGTCCCACCGGTATGCGACTGGGCTCTCTCTCTCTCCCAGTCGTTCTCTCGCGGATCGGCGTGCGGTATCTGGACCGAGCCTAGAATGGACTGATCGTACTGGTACACTCTTCGCTCGCCGGTTTTCCTGCTGCCTTCCATGGATCTTTGGGGCGGTTGCTGGTTGCGGGGCGGCGGTCGTGAGACCGATCGTTCTCCCATTCCCCGATTTTCCGCGGCAATAGCCCGCCAGAGGGCTCGGATTTGTTCGGGAGTGAACGGCATCAGGGCTGGCGGCCGGTTCAAGGGTGCCGACTCATTCTCTTGACTTTGGGCGTTTCGCTGATTCAATTGCTCTCTCAGGTCGACTTCTGGAGCATTATTGCGGTTATTCGCCTGGCTCCGTCCCTCCGACATGCTGCGAAGCTTTTATCCCTCTGCGATATCCTTGTTTGTCCTGTGCACTCGTTCTGCTCAGAAAAGCACGTGGCTCTTTGTTTCGATCCTCATACATGGCACCAGTGTTGGTTTTTGGGTTTTTGGGCCCAAGGAGGTCCAACACAACCTTAGTTGGTGGACACACCCTTCAATAAAGCTACTAAAAATAGAATATAACAAGTAGTGAATCTCTTTCTCTATTCTCTAGGCATGGACTCGCCTGGTTTACAAGGGTGGAGGGGCCTTTATATAGTAGACCCTTCCCTCAGCCGAGTTAATGTACATTGAAGGCTGCCTTCAAGGCTAATTATACCTTGGGGCCGTTGGGTGCCGTTACCGGGTCGGCCAACGGCCCCTTGGGCTTTTCTAACGGCTCGCTTGGCCGAGCCCTTTGAATGCTGCAATGAATGCTTCTCAACGGCTCTAAGATGAGTCTCCTTCTTAGCCAGGGCCTGGGCCGACTCATAGGCTCGGCCCAGGCCTCTACTGGGCTTTATTACTGACCTTTATTCTCATTTTCTAGGCTGTTACCTAACCCTTCTGGGCTCTTCTCCATTCAGGGCCTCTTCTCTTGGGCCTGTCTTCTTGGGCCGGGGTCCTCACCCCATCAACTGTCGTTATCATAATAATAATTTCATGAAAGAATGTAAATGGAGATTAACATAAAATTACTGTAATACTTTCTAGGTATTTAGGGGCAATTTGGTTTTTCAATTTTAAGTTAAAGTTTGATTTTTTTTGTATTGAGGGGCTTTTTCCCCAGAAATCGATATGTTTAATTTTTTTTTTTATTTTTCTATTTTAAATAGAGTTCGTGCCTTTACCTGCTTCGATTTGAAATTCGATTTTGCTCGGTTTTGGTGAATTTTTCATTGAATTCTAGACTTCAATAGAAATTTCAAAGACAAAGTTGAAGATAAAAGGTCAAAACTATCAATTTCACTGTGAAATTGATGATTCTTTACTTTTTATCTTCAACTTTGTCTTTGAAATCTCTCTAGATGAGGATTTTTGTTTATATAATTTTGTATTAATTGTAGTTAGCTTATTCGGTTATTTTGACTTTTAAATTTCTTTTATCTTTGGACAAATCTGGCAACTTTATATTGATTCACAATTTTTTTTAAAAAAAAAAAAGAGTAAATAATACTTGGTAGTTCAGATCCGTGACTTAGTCCTTGATCTCTATACTTAACTTTTATGTTTTTGGTGTTGAAATCATGGTTTTGTTTCGTTCTTCATATACATCTTGTAATGATCTCAGAGGATTAAAGAGAAAAAAAAATTAAAAATGAATCACTTTCCGTTATTATTATTATTATTATTATTATTATTATTATTATTATTATTATTATTATTATTATTATTGTTGTTGTTGTTGTTGTTGTTGTTGTTGTTGTTGTTGTTGTTGTTGTTATTATTGTTATTATTGTTATAATTGTTATAATTATTATAATTGTTATTATTGTTATTATTGTTATTATTGTTATTATTATTATTATTATTATTATTATTATTATTATTATTATTGCTTTCACACGTTGGAGGGAAAAAAAATTTGCTAATCATTTTGCTATAATATATATAGAGATATAGAGATTGCATTAATACTATAGTTCAATGTTGTAAAACTCGGACTAGGCGGCGCCACCATGCCGTGTCGTTTTTGGGTGTAGGCGGCCATTCCTCGGCCGGTCGCCAGGCGGCCACCTAGGCGGCCATTCCTCGGTCAAAATCGATCGAGTCGGCCAACTCGACTGAGTCATCCAATTTTGACCGATTTTTTCTGATGTAGTCTTTCATTAATTATTAATTTTAATATTATTATGATGTTATGACTTATAAATTATCTTTATTTTATTTATTTGGATGTATTATTTGATTGAGTGTTGAAAACAACCTCATTAAAATTGTCAAACGTCAAGTCTGCCACTATTTATTTTATTTTTTTTGCCGCCCGCCTAGGCGCTATGCGCTGCCCGGGCGCCTAGCGCCTATTGCAACCATGCTATAGTTTAGACTTATACTATAATTTACACTCATACTCATACTAAATATACTCACACATAATGGATTTGTTAATAAATCTACACATAATGGATTTGTTAATATATCTGATCTACACGGAAAATATATATTTCATACAAATAAATTAGGATAGCAAATGATTTCTATAACTGAATTGCTAGACAACGAGAAAATTTGCTCAATTAATACAAATATTAAATATTGATATATAAAATCTCTAAAGTTTCAGCACCGGATGCGTACATCTACACATTGGCTATTACTTGGGCAATTATTTTCTCGAATTCAAGTAATGATAACATTAGAAAGTATAATCGATCTAACTCAATTCTTCAATTGCATTATATAATATTCGATATTATAATTTATATAATTGTATATCGATCCAAATATTCTTAATATATTATAATAAATCCATTACGTACATTGCACGGGTGAAAATAACAGCTGCAACAACAACAACAACAACAACAACAATAAAAATAATACTAATAATGATTCGGAATTCAAGCGCCTATAATGTTCAAATTAGGCTCTCTTAGATTGATAAACACAAACCTAGACTCATTGATCTGCGAAGCCCGTGTATGTGTTCTTAATTTGAGGGGAAAAAAAAAAGACAAAAGAATTAATGAATAAAGACACAGCTAGCTGCCGCCGACTGGATTACTGACTTGAGGGTGAAGATAGAGACTGGGAGACGGTCAGCTTACGCCTAGCAACCAGGCGAATAGGCGGGTGAAACTGTCAACAAATGAAATTCACTAATTAATGGCAGTGAGGTTTAAAAAAAAAACTGTGGCAATTTTGAAAAGTGTTAGGGTTGGATTATGTTCATTTTGAATACAATATGTAATTAAAAATTGTAGAATAAAAATAATCAAGTACTACCTCCGTCCCATTTTATATGTCTGGTTCGGTTAACGAGGCTTGACTGAAATTATTTTTAACTCAATTTTTCATAATATTAAATTTAGTATTAGTATACAAAATTTATATATTTACAAACTACACTAAAAGTACTATTAAACACAAAACATCAAATTCAAAAATAAATTTTAAATACTAAAGAAAATAAATTAAACAAAGAAGAAAGAGTTAGGTTGACCAATGAATAGTAAGTAGGACAGATAAAATGGGACAGATGGAGTAATAAATATCCTATTAACATATATATAAAATATATAAAATTAAATTTCTATTAATTAAATGAATTCATTGTTATTTATTTATATTACGAGTCATCCCTTTGACAATCGTTTTAACTCTGACATTATGTTCTTTTTAGAAAACAAGTCGTTGTCTAATTAGAATAATACACAAGCACCGTTGCTTTGATCGAATAGGGTGTTCGATAATGCTCAACCATTGTTAGAATCAATTGTTTGTTCACCGGCATTTAGTCCAGTTAATCACATAGTGAATGGTAAGAAAAGTTGTTATCTCAACAGCCTACTTTACTATTTTACTGAATTAAAATGCATTTTTAAAATTTCCTCCAAAGAATATGCCTATGAATGGTATTACAATTCACATTGAAATTTTTGTTGAAGGTAAACCAGTGGGTTGTATTTATAGATAAGCTGAAATAGCGTCTGGTGGGATATTATCCCAATACATAGCCGTATCATACTGAAAAGCTATAGAAGCTAAACTATGTGCTAAATAATTCTGCGATCTAGGAATGAAACTAACATGGCAAGATGTAAAAGTAACCGATATATGATCGTGACGGCTGATGCGGGGGTGTCAAATAATTTCGTAGAGTCTGACAATCTGTATAGAGCTCAACAGATTGCACTCCACGGTTGCGTAACCAAGAAGGGGCATCCTTGCAAGCATATGCCTCTGCCATTAGTGGAGAGTAACAATGGGGTAACGGCGCGGCGAATGCTAAGATAAAATGGCCGTCCGCCCCCATAAGCACCGCTCCTACCGAAGCCAAGTTGTCTACATAGCGATAGCCGGCGTCGACGTAGCATCTGTTCGGCACTTGCAGGCGGTGCGACTGTCCTGGGCTTTGGCGAGCCGGCTGACGCATAGTAGTAGAGGGCGGCAGTGTGTCAACCGCCCCTTGGTTGGCGGCAATATTCATCGGGGCAGCCCCACTGGGTGAGTTCACATGGACTTGCCGCCATGCATGCATGGCAGTTTGGGCCGTGGCTAGTGATCTTCTCGGGTGAGGCAAACATGCATCCCAAACTGCTCCGTTCGGAGCTCTCCATAGATGATAAAGAATTGCAGCTGCGTAGAGAATTCCATCAGAGTCTAGAATATTTAACACTTCACTAAACCATTCATAAAAAATATTCGTCACAATATTCGGTAGTGGAAGGTTAGATAGTGTCCAAGTGGATTTTGCATAGTCACACAAGACTAATGAATGCATAATATCCTCATTAGCAA